TTGAGAAGTCTTGTTTCAAGCCATTATTTGTGAGTTCCAAGGTCTGCCTTGACTCTGTCCAGAGCCCTTTTGGCCATATTTTGTGTCTTTGATGCATGTGTAGAACAATCCCATTCAAGGCCTTTCAAAGGGGCCTTTATTTGCATGTTTCCAAAATCTGTTTCTCAAAACGATTTGCCAGAATTGGACTCTTTGGTTCAGATTAAGAACCGCGACACAAATCGAGTCCGAACTGTAGTAGCGTGAGGCCCACGCGCGGGCGCTGTTACAATGTGTAGAACAATCTCATTCAAGGCCTTTCAAAGGGGCCTTTATTTGCATATTTCCTAGACCCCTTTTAGGCTTTTTTTAGTGGGTTTTAGGACCCTCAGAACCTCTTTCCAGAGGTGGTTTTGCCATTGTGTGTGTCCATCATGCATGTGTAGAACAAACCCCTTATTGGCCTTTCAAAGGAGCCCATCATTCTTGCATGCATTGACTGAGTTTCAGTGGTTATTTAGGCATATTTTGGCATGGCATACTTCTATTTTTGGCTGGCTTGGTAAGCCTTCATATGCTCCATATAGTTGTAATGTAACTCATGGTTCACTAGTTTTCTTTGCATGCTTTGTTGACCCCTGATTTTAACACTTTTTGGCCATGCCTTAAACTGATATTGTGCTTATTTTGGACTGTCCTAGCTCTGTTTTTGGGTCTCATGGTTGAATAATGTTGGTTTTGCATGCTTGTAGTTCAATACCCATGCTTAACTTTGAGTTTTGAGGTTCATTCCATGCATATACTGAGGTGTATTCATGTTTTGGGCTCATTATACATCATATTTCAGAGCTTGTTTGAATTCCATATTGTTATGTTTTGTACTCTTTAAATGTGTTTGAGAGTCGGACTTGTATGTATTGTTTTCGGACCATTGAGTGAGCTCCATTTCGTTGCATTCTGAGCCATCATTTTAGGCCATTTCCCCACTGTTTCAGACCTGCCTAGGGTCTGTTTGGGGTTGGTTTTGCCTTTGGTGCATTGCTTTGGGTACTTCTAGTGTAATGCACTTCACTAGTTTCGATACCCGGGCCCCCTAGCTTGCATTGTGTGCCATATTTGCATGTTTCGGGACCATATTTTATGCCGTTTCAGAGCTGCATCATGTGTGATTTTATGCCATGTTTCATCTTTTACCATGCTTTGGTAGAGTGGCATTTGATGCCTTAGGATCGGTCCCTTGCATCGTGTATGTTTACATGTGTTTTGGTTGTCTTATTCCCATCATATGGCCACTGATGTGGGTGTGGCTGAGGTCCACTCATATTGGTGTAAGTCCATCTTGCATTGAGTATGCTATTCAGTTCATGTTGTTGCATGTTTGGCCTTTGCATTGCGTATGCTAGGTTGTTAGGTGCATTGTGCATGCCATGTTATGTCACGTGCATTATGTATGCCATGTCATTCCTCGCATTGTGTATGCTAGGTTGTTAGTCGCATTGAGTATGCCATAGTTCATGAGCATTATGCATGCCATGTAGTGTTAGCACTGTATATGCTAGGTGCATGTTTGCATTTTCACCCCTTGCATTTTTGCGTCATTCCGTGACATTGCATCTAGGATTGCACGTTAGAATTGCATTCATACATATCATGCATATTGCATTATGTTTGGAGTAGGGTTTAGTCCAAACATGGGAAACGAGGGACGCTTCGTACTCCAAGTGACGAAACGTACCTCGATTCCCGGTTGCCGACGCTCCGGATTATCCATGATGTAGTTTAGGCCTTGTTGTATTCATATGTGCATTCATTTCATATCGAGTCGTGCAATTCGATTCCTCGGCCATCATGCATCGAGATGCGTGATTGGTGGCGCGAGGATCGAGGTCTACACTCCCTAGAGCTTGAGCAATGACGAGGAGAGTAGTCGCGCAGACACATGTTGAAAATACATTACCTTTTCTCTCTCTCGCCTTTGTTGCAGAAAAAACCAGAATCCAGGGGCAGAAAGTGGTCGGCCGACCAGCTTTTCTGGCAGGCCGACCACCCTTTTGGGTTTCTCTCACAAAAGGTGGTCGGTGGGTGGTCTCCCATCCTGATAACTGGTCAGTGGCCTTCCCAAGGTGGAGTTTCAGCATTCTGGAGCTTTGTGCAAGTTTCTGAGATCAATTGCAAACAAAGGCGAGGTAAGGCATCGCGATGGAATTCGCCGACAAGGCAACTTGAGCACGCATACATCCTCCATCATTCCGAGCAAAGCTGAGGCAGTCCATTGCACGTAGCATGGCATGCTAGTTTACTTTGCTTACTTAGTTTATTTGTTAAGTAATTAGTGTTGTGTAATAATTCGTTATTTATTTTGGTTGTGTAATATTCATTCGAACCCTCTGAGCGAGGGCAATTGTGTAATAAGTGTGCGTGTGTGTGATGTATGTCTTCCAACCCCACGTCTTTCTCCCTTTTATTTACCAGCTTATGATGGTTAGATTAGGGCATGTTTCAATTAGCATACTTATGCTCGCATGTTTGCATTCATTCATCTGTATTGCATGCACTGGGCTCGGCGCATCAAACTAACTACATTGTATTTCAATCCCGAGTTGAATACGTGTTAGTTGTAGCATCTCATATGTCATTCTTAGAATAGCCGAGCCTATTATAGTTGCATTTTTGCATGTGTTGCATTAGGCATCTCAGCATAGTTAAGATCCATGCATGTTTTCTAATTAGCTTCTTTCTTTGGCTTGGAGTACTCGGTAAGTGTTTATGCTTTAGCATCCTTGCATGTGTGTGAGTGACTACCATGATAGCATGCTTTCCGTGAGGCTATGTGCTTATGTGATGTACCTGCCTGAATGCCTGTGAGTGAAGGTTGGATTATCTGAATTGAAATAATGCATTGACTGTGAGTTTTAAGCCCACTAGATAGTGGCAAAACCATCTTTTCTAAGCCCACCCGAGGGTGGCAAAACCTGCATTTTAGCCTATTTGCGAGTAGCAAACCATTTTCAAAACAAACATGGGATGTTTCATTCTAATTCAGGTGATCCAGTCTATACTTATATGCTGTGCGCATCACATAGTAAATCTAGGCTAATAACCGGAATAAAAACGCATAATGTTTTCAAAACTAGATATCATGGTTAGTAGAGGCTGATCTTTGATCGGCGAGCGGGGGTGCTCACGAAGTGACCTTCTCCAATCGTACCCAAGTTCCCGAGCCGAGGCAACTTTGGTGATGACGGACACGTGGCCTTAGGCAACGAGTCAGGGTTTCCTAAATTCTCCCAAAATAAAATATTTAGGTGGCGACTCTGTATCTGACAAAGCAATCCATATTTGGCACTTCTTTCAAAAAAATTTGTTTTCAAAAACGATTTGTCGGATTTAGACTCTTTGATGATTCATCGGTCTTGCATGGCACTCTGCGAGATTAGATATAAGACCGTGACATTAAGTCCTGAACTGTAGTGAGCCCAAATGAACAAAATGGGATTTCCTTCCCGGGACGTTCGGGGACATCTACAGCCAGTTAATATGGTTTATGTGCTGCCTCAGGAGTTTCAAGTTGAGAAGGAGAACCAAGAAAGCCAGAAGGGTGATGTCACGACCCAAACCCGCCCCTATAGGTTTAGCGTCGTAACCGACCAGTAATCCTTGGATTACCAAAGGCCTCTAAACAGAATAACATATAATTAGGGGCAGCGAAAGCAAATAGAGAAACATGCATAGTCCATAGAGCTATGCAGACATACATGGGACAAAAAAGATTTAAAACTTATATATAATGTCAAACTTCCATACGTCATATATCACCATACAAATATAGATAGTGTCAAAAGGGACTTAGCCCAAAGTACAGATAGACAAAAACAAACAAAAACATCATCCACATGGTTCACAAAACTTGACTTGACAAATGGGAACCTCCCCGGGAGGCACGGTGGCTGGCTGACAAAACAAAACTCTCCAGGCAACAGCTTAAGCCTGTAACAGAGCAGACACATTGAAATACACGCTCGGAATTCATTACAATTGTGTTTCGTTCTTAGTGTGTTTCTAAGTTTTATTCTCAATGTTGTGTCTTAATCATGGCCTAGGAATCCCTAGGATGCGATGAGGATGCCAAAATGCACTTTGAAACACTTAGCCAATTATGCTGAAAACAGGGGCCTCGCTCGAACACAACTTCATTCGCTCGAGCGGTGAGTCAAAAATGTGAGGGCCGCTCGAGCGGTCTGTAAATTTTGAAAATGTACCGGTTGCTTGATTTTTCCGCTCGACGTACGCTCGATGGTCGCTCGAGCGTGAGACTAAGGTCTTTGCTCGAGCACAACTCTTGTCACTCGAGTGGTCTACAAAATGTGTGAACTTCTAAGAGCATGTATTTCACGCTCGAGCCAACTTTTGGTCGCTCGAGCGGAAGTTCAAAATCACAGAGTGGTTGCTCGAGCGCAGGTTCTGTCACTCGAGCGCAAAAGCAAAATTTTGGAATTTCTAGATTTGCTTCCAAGCTTCAAAACCCAACTCAATGCTGCAAATCATGTTCTCTTGGGCTAAAACTCAAGGAAACTTGTGTAAACTTGGAAAACATCTTGAATTCAAAACCATTTCACAAAATCAAGGCCCAAGAGTAAGTTAATTGTGCAAACTCAAGCTTAAAGTTTAAATAACATAACATATATGCATTGATATGAATTCAAACATTCCAAAACATGTGTTAGACTTATTTATTTTAATGATTTATTTAATTATGTTTTAATAGAATCCAAAATTTATTTTGATGATTTATTTAATTATGTTTTAATTTATTTGAACGAGAAAAATAGAATCAAAATTTATTTTGTCCCATTATTTCTCACATAAATCTTTATCCTAAATGTTGTTAGAATGTATTTAATATTTGATTAAATCAGGAGTTCAAACAGCACAAAACAAAGGTTCAAAAGATTCAAGTGGAAGATATTCAAATTTGTAATGATGGAGAGGAAGATGTTCAAATTGGTCATGATGGAAGTACAATGGCTATAAACGGCTATAAAGGTTCAAAAGGCCAAAAGCCCCATGCATCCACTAAATCAGTTCGCTCATCCACTCAATCAACACCTGGACCCCATGCATCCATTAAATCAGTTCGATCATCTACACTGCACCCATTTACATCAGAATCGGTACATGAAGTTACGTCACAAGTTTCACACTCGGATACTTCTAGCACACATTGCAACACTGATGGTTTGTAAATATTTTAAGTTTATGTTTTGTTTTGGTTGGTGGTTCTCGTCTTTTCAATCTATATATTAACATGATACTTTTTCATTGTTTCTAGTAGGCACATCCAAGGGTAAGAGAGGACGTGGGAAGTCACGAAGCCTCAAATTGGCCAAGCTAAAAAATCAAGGGGTGCGATTGCCTATTCAGATTTGTAAGGTTAGTGGACGACCATATGGTGAAGCATCTGAAAAATTTACCAGTGAATTAGGGATTGTCACTAGGCAATTTGCCCCACAAAATGTGCCATCGTGGACTGATATTAGTGAAGAGGATAAAGAAACATTGGTTGCATACCTTCAGGTAAGTGGTACAATTGCTGAGATTTAGATTTCCTCTTTGCAAATTATTTTCTGGATAATTATTTTCCCAGTAAATTTCCTCTTCCCACATTATTTCATCAAGCATTTTGATAGCACTATTTGTACCATTTATTTGTTTCTGGCACAATAATTAACACGCACCATAAACAACTTTGAGGGAAGATTTTAATGTGCTTTAATTTTTTCTTGTTTGGTATGACAGGAAGGTTTTAAGTTTACCAATGAACCCTATGCTATCGAATCTATCCTCAATTTGATGCACGACCGGTATAAGAGCTATCGCCATGACCTACGACAACGCTTTAGAAGGTTCCCTACAATGGAATCTGCCCTTGCGGATCCACCCGAAAACATGGAAAAAGAGACGTGGAAGTTTTTGTGCGAAAAGTGGTCTGACAAGGACTATAAGGTAACGTTGTCAATCTTGTCTCATTTTTTGTCAAACATGATGGTTTAAATATGAAGTGCCCTAAGCTCCGTGTCATAATATGCTATGGTATGAACAGTAATTGTGTTCCTATTAGAAGTTAAATGCCGAGTTTGATGTAAAATACACATTAACTTGCAGAATGCTTGTGAATTTGTTGAATCTTTAAACAAGGAATTTCTGAAAGACTACTTTACGCATTAAGAAAAATATGCGTATTTTATTTTTGTGACTATATGATTTATTATGATTGGCATGCAAAAGTTTGATTGTTGATTTTTAACTTGTGAGAGAGAGAATTAGATTTTTGTATTTTTTTTATTCATAGCCTTAAATGGGAATATAGCGTAATAGAGCACCGGAGAAAATTGATCCATAAAACTGACCCATTTCTACAATTTACTAACCCATTTCAACCTGCTATCTCCAATTCTATATTTCTTGTAGATGAGAAATGTTTAATAATAAAAGAAACACTTTGTACTCTGACTTATGCATTTAATAATAGGTGAGATGTGGCAAGAATAAGTTGAATCGGGAGAAGTTGAAAGTCCTCCACACTGCTGGCTCAAAGGCCTTCAGAAAAGTGCAATATGATGAGGTATTAATTATAGAATCTATAATTTATGTTTTGTAATTGTAATTGAACAACGTAATCTATATTGAGGTTTAATGTGTGCTATAAATGGCACAGCGAGACCGTGCCACTGGAGAGGAACTTGGACTTGTTGAGTTGTACAAAAAGACGCATTTTAGTGAGAAAAAAGAGGCATGGGTGCATGCTGATGCTGAGATTAGACATGTAAGACATCAATCTTTATGTACTTTCATTCCTTATATCCTTAATAAAATGTGGATGGATACTTAATTTTATCTCAACTAATGAATATTGTAGTACAAGCTTGAAAAGCGGCAAGAGAAAGCTATTGAAGAAGGATCTTGCCCGATATCTGATGAGCAACTTTCTATTGAGGTATTTGGACAAAAAGTTGGCTACATACGCGGCTTAGGGCGTGGTCGAAAACCAAGTACAACATTATCTGGAAAACTTACCCGTGCCCAACTCGAGAGGGATAATGAGGCTGCTACAAGGGAGGCTGAAGAGCAACGAAGAATCAATGAGGAGCTGGTGGGAAGAATTCAAATCTTGGAGTCTGATCGCACGGAATACAATGCCAAAGTCGACTTCTTGATGCAGCAGATCAGTCGAAGAGTACCCTCTACTGATTCTTCTTCTTAGTAAGTCATCTTTTCAGAATGTTTGAGTAATTGATATTTGTTTCATTCAATAAATCTGATGAATCTTAGGATATTGATATGATTGGATTACATGTATATGCTAGTACAGGTTATACATCACTGTGCTTTTAGTATCTTCTGAATTGTTTTCTTCAAGGCAGCAGCACCTGATCTGGGTCCCTTTTGATTGTTTGTGTTAAATCTGAACTGAGTTTTTGATCTTTTGTAGAAAATAAGAGGAAAGGACTATACATTCACTTTTCTAGAAAATTGTGAGTATTAACTTTCTAGAGTGATTTTATAAGATAAGATTACATTAATTTATGAGCAAGGGGGAGGACTAGTTTTGAACTCTTTCTCTCTGAAGGAAATGGATTACATAATAATGAGTGGGCGAAGACAATTTCTGAGGATTAGTTTTGAACTCATCACAACTTGCTGCATGTATACCAGCTGTGGACTTGATTTATACCACCTTAGGGGTAAATTTAGGGACTATTTTTTAGAGGTCTCTGGCATTACTCTTTAGAATTTTTATAAGTAGACAGAATTTTTGAAATTGTGAGTCTTAACTTTCTAGAGTGATTTTATAAGATAAGATTACATTAATTTATGAGCAAGGGGGAGGACTAGTTTTGAACTCTTTCTCTCTGAAGGAAATGGATTACATAATAATGAGTGGGCGAAGACAATTTCTGAGGATTAGTTTTGAACTCATCACAACTTGCTGCATGTATACCAGCTGTGGACTTGATTTATACCACCTTAGGGGTAAATTTAGGGACTATTTTTTAGAGGTCTCTTGCATTACTCTTTAGAATTTTTATAAGTAGACAGAATTTTTGAAATTGTGAGTCTTAACTTTCTAGAGTGATTTTATAAGATAAGATTACATTAATTTATGAGCAAGGGGGAGGACTAGTTTTGAACTCTTTCTCTCTGAAGGAAATGGATTACATAATAATGAGTGGGCGAAGACAATTTCTGAGGATTAGTTTTGAACTCATCACAACTTGCTGCATGTATACCAGCTGTGGACCTGATTTATACCACCTTAGGGGTAAATTTAGGGACTATTTTTTAGAGGTCTCTGGCATTACTCTTTAGAATTTTTATAAGTAGACAGAATTTTTGAAATTGTGAGTCTTAACTTTCTAGAGTGATTTTATAAGATAAGATTACATTAATTTATGAGCAAGGGGGAGGACTAGTTTTGAACTCTTTCTCTCTGAAGGAAATGGATTACATAATAATGAGTGGGCGAAGACAATTTCTGAGGATTAGTTTTGAACTCATCACAACTTGCTGCATGTGTACCAGCTGTGGACTTGATTTATACCACCTTAGGGGTAAATTTAGGGACTATTTTTTAGAGGTCTCTGGCATTACTCTTTAGAATTTTTATAAGTAGACAGAATTTTTTTGAAGAACGTATCACATGAGAGACAAACAGTTGGGTGCATTTGTGTGAGGCCCACATGTATCTCACGTGGGAGTGTGGCAGGCGATTTAGAACAATATTCTCCTTTTTGTCTATATATATATTTGCATAATTACACTTTTCATAGGAGTTATTCCTTTTACTTACTGTTCTACAAGGAATTGTTTTCACTGGAGTAATGTTTGTAATTGAACTTCAGATACTACAATCGGCACATTAAATTGTAATTTATTAAATTAATCTATTATTGGATAATTTTTAATTGGTAATCTATTTGAGAGTTTGGCCTATTCTATGCAGGTCCTGCAGGCTTGCGTCGATTTAAAGCTTGGGAGCTCTCTGCTAGATTTTGAATGCCATTTTAACGAAACCATTGAGAAGAAGATGCGATGAGTTGAGTTGAGTTGTTTTGTTATGTAGGTAGATATAACTCCAATTACAATCTGTTCATTGAATAGTTGAATGCTACAAGCAATGTTTATGGCACTGACCTTATAAATTGGAAATGACACTTTTGAAATCTCCATCAGTTTACGATATACAATCCAGATATTACATACTAATGAATTAGAGCATAGTATTTGTTTGTTATTGAAATATCTTTTGATTAAGTCTCTTTGAATGTGATGAGCATGTTTTTTTTTTTTTTTTTTGGTTGAATTTTAATTTGGAGATGACCGAATGGTCTGGTGATATGTTTGATATTTTCTGTTTGATTGTTGAGAAATCAATAAAGGAATATAAGTTGATGTTAAAATTAGTATTTTTAGAAAAATTTTTAAAAAAAAAAAAAAAAAAAAAAAACAATTATCAAACTTTTAGAGACCAATTTTAGTTGTCTCAAAAAATATTTAATAAGCTTTTAGCCACTATTTTTATTTGTCCCAAAAATTAGAACTTTTAACCACCATTTCCCTTTGTCCTAAAAAACTAAAACTTTTACAGACCACTACCATTTGTTCCAAAAAATTAAAACTTTTAGCCACCAATTTGTGTTGTCGCAAACATTAAAACTTTTAGACACCAATTTGTGTTGTCGCAAAAATTAGTTTCTTTGTCTCCATAACTACCATTGTTGCCTTGGACTCTAAATAGACTTTTAGAGACAAATTTTGGTTGTCTCAAAATCAAAACTTTTTGCAACCACCTATTTTTGTCTCTAAAAGTCTATTTATAGTGACAAATGCAAAATTTTGTCTCTAAAAGTCATTTTTTGACTTTTCCGGACGGGCCATTTGGGACAAACTTCGCGACGGAGGAAATTGGTTGGCTAAAGTTTTTCCCAACAAATATTACACTTTTAGGGACAAAATAAATTTGTCCCTAAAAAGCTGATTTCTTGTAGTGTTAGACCTACAATAAAATTCTAAAAATTTCAAATAACACATAACTCAAGTCAATTTCGTGATCGGATGCCGATAAGATCGTCAATTTGTAGAACAGAAACAGAAACAAAAATAGATATTTCTACGATAAACAAATATAAGCACAAATAATGCTATTCACATGTAATTAACATATGATTTCATATTAATTACGTATTACACATCCTTAATCATGGTTTAATAGTTAATCTTAGGTCAGGGTTGTTACAGGTGATCCTATTCCAGTTTCTAGTGGGGATTCACAAACCAGCATAGTTCAAGATGAATCTGAGGTGGCCAGGCCCATAGAAACTAATGAAGAGAGTGAAAAGGTAAGCATTAACCTCTCATATCCCTTCGAATACCCTATAGTATCCATGACCCAACATGTGAAGCTCCTGTACATTAAGGCTTATTTCGATGGAATAGAAATGGGCAGAGTACTAGTAAATAATGGGGCAGCAATGAACCTGCTTCCATAATCCTCCTTGAAGAAGTTGGGGAAAATAAATCCCAAGTTGATCCCAACAAGCACTACCAATGCTTGTTTTGCTGGAGACAAGCAGATGGCTCAAGGCATTCTATCTATCAACTTGAGTGTAGGAACCATAGGCTGTATGACAACATTTTTTGTCATAGACAGCAATGCCAAATATAATGCTTTGTTTGGCAAGAATTGGATCCACACAAACAAATGTGTGCCATCTTCTTTTCATCAGAAGATAATGATAACACTAGGCAGTGGGGAAACAAAGGAGATCAATGCAGATCCACAACCCTTTATTGCCTGTGTAGATTTTGCAGAAGCCAAGCTGTACACTGAAGGGGAGGTACCACTTAGTGTACTAAGGAAGTCTGATGTAACAGCTGAAGTGACGGTTGATGAGGAAGTATCACACTTGAAGCATCTAGTACATGAAAGTGCTGATGAGAAGTTCATCAGCAAAGATGCTAATAATACCTGGCTGTAGGCAAAAAGGTCGAGATCAAGAAGCCAGACCATTGACTTTAATCAAGTTTTTAACAGTGAACATAAAGACAATAATCCAGAAGGTGCAGGAAGAAGAAAAAGAAAAGGATCAAGATCAAAAAGCCAAACCATTGGCTTTAATCAAATTTTCAACATTGGACATAGAGACAATAGTCCAAGAAGTGCAGAAAGAAGAGAAAGAAGCCATGGTGATTGGTTATAGTCAGGGCCAACAAGAGGCCAGACCTTTGGCTCATGGTAAGTATTATACATTGGACATTGAAACTAAGGTTCAGGAAATACAGGAAGAAGAGGCTCTATGGACAAATTTTGTCTATGAAGAAGAGAGTAAGGATGTTAAACCAGAAAATGTAGGAGCAACAAGATGAAAGGGTTGCTTCGAAGGTAGAAGAAGTCAAAAGGGAAGTGTTAGTAAGTGCTCTAGTGCAAAATCCCTTAGAAGAAGTCAACTTAGGGGAAGGTTCAGTACAACAACCTACCTACATCAGTGCTTGTCCTAAAACAATGGAAAGATTATTTTGCTTGGTCTTATAATGAATTACCTAGGTTGGACAAGTCATTAGTGAAACATAGGCTCCCAATGAAGCCTAATTTCAAGCCACACAAGTAGAAACCAAGATGAATGAGCCCTGAAGTGGTTCAAAAGGTTAAAGAGGAGATTGTTAGGCTCCTTAAAGAAGGATTTATTAGAACAGCCAGGTATGTTAAATGGTTGTCCAATATTGTGCCTGTAGTAAAAAGAATGGCAAGTTGAGGGTATGCATTGATTTCAGAAACCTGAATTTGGCAACTTCAAAAGATGAGTACCCCATGCCTATAGTTGATTTATTGGTAGATAGTTCAGCATTGAGCAGGACACAGGATTTTGTCTATAATGGATGGACATTCTGGTTACAACCAGACCTGTATAGCAGAAGAGGATGTTCACAAGGCAGTTTTCAAGTGTCCTGGAAACATTGGCACCTTTAAATGGGTTAAGATGCCATTTGAATTGAAGAATGCTGGAGCAACACATTAGAGGGCAATGAACACTATCATCCATGATCTCATTGGAGGATACTTAGACTGTTATATTGATAATATTGTTGTGAAATCCCAGTCTATGGAAGAGCATCTGGTTCACTTGACAGTAGCCTTGAAAAGAATAAAAGAGTTCAAGCTAGAACTCAATCCTCTCGAATGTACTTTTGGTGTATCAGCTGAAAACTTCTTAAGATATGTAGCACACAGGAAGGGAATACATATTGATCAAAACAAAGCCAAAGCCAAAGCCAAAGCCATCATTGAGGCCAAACCTCCATCAAGTAAGAAAGAATTGCAAAAATTCCTTGGTTAGGTTAATTTCCTTCAAAAATTTATTTCTAACACTGCTGGAAAAACTAAAGTATTTTTTTCTTTATTGAAATTAAAAAATGAAGAAGAATTTGCATGGACAGCAGAGCATCAAGCTGCTTTCGAAGTAATCAAAACCTATTTGGCCAAGCCTCCAGTATTGATGCCACCAAAGAAGACAGACCTCTGAAGCTAGACATTGCTACAGTAGAAGAATCATTGGGAGGTTTTCTAGCTCAGGACAATGAGAAAGACAAGGAACAAGCAGTATATTACCTTAGTAGGTTTTTAAATTCTTGTGAATGTAAATACTCAACTGTAGAAAAATTATGTTTAGCATTGTATTTTGCAACAATAAAATTAAGATATTATCTTTTGCCTACTGTTGTCTTGGTAATTGCAACCACAGATTTGGTTAATACATGTAATCTAGACCCATGTTAAGAGGAAGAATTGGAAAATGGATTTTAACTTTATCAGAATTTTATTTGGAATATGTTTTCCAAAAGGCAATAAAAGGACAAGTTTTGGCTAACTTCTTGGCTAATCATCCATGTCAAGCAGAAAGCCAAGAAATAATGGAACTTCGCACAATTGATGTTGAACCATGGCAAATGTGGTTCGATGGATCAAAAGCCAATGGTCTAGTCGGAATTGTGTCGTAGTTAAGTCACCACAAGAGACAGAAACCACACATGGTTTCAGAGTTGATGAAGCTACTTGTTCCAACAACCAAGATAAGTATGAAGCTTTGGTAATGGAACTTGAGATACTTATTGGATTATAGACTCATGCAGTTGATATATTTGGAGATTCTCAATTAGTAATCTATCAAGTAAAAAGAATTTTTAAATGTCAAAGTGCAGGCATGTTACCATATTATGTTGCTACATTACATTTGCTTTCTCAATTTCAAATAGCAAATGTGACTTATATCCCAAGATTCATAAATCACAAAGGCAATGATGTAGCTCAGAGGGCTTCGAATTTCAAAAGAAGGGTTGACACTCAAATAGACATAAGTCAAGCAACATATCATAAGCTAATACCACATTTGGCTAAAAAGGGTATCATGGTATAAATTAACCAGAATAATTTGGAAGAACATAATTGGAGACATCCAATCATCCAATGTTTAATTGGTCCTTCTTCGAAGGCCAACAGAAGGCTTTAATTGCAATCAATGCAATTCATAGTGTATGGGAATGCCCTTTACAAAAAGGGAGCAAATAGGCTGCTATTGGAATGTCTAAGGCCAAAAGAGGCATTGACTGCCATGGATGAGGTGCATAAAAGCATTTATGGTGCCCATCAACCTGGTGTGAAGATGCGGTGGTTACTTCGAGGCATTCCTATTATTGGCCAACCATCTTTAAGGATTGTATAAAGTATGCAAAAGGTTGTTAGGCATGCTAGAAGCATGACATAATAAGACATGTGTCAGTAACTGATTTACACGCAATAGTGAAGCCCTGGCCATTTAGAGGATGGGCAATGGATATGATAAGAAAAATATATCCACCCTCTTCAAAACAACATTGTTTCATTCTGGTAGCCACAGATTACTTCACTAAGTGGGTTAAAACTAAGCCTTATAAGGTTGTAGATCAAACTGAAGTTATTGACTTTATCAGAAAGTTGATCCATAGGTTTTGCATCCCACAGACCATAACTGTGGATAATGGGTCTCTGTTTGATAGAAAGATAGTAAAATCTTTTGCAGTAGAATTGGAATTAGTCTTATTAATTCCACCCCTTATTATAC